TATCTATTTAGTTCAAAACACCCATTCATCTTTATCTTTTTTTTCCGTTCTTTATTTCCTCTGTTTTTTTTCTTCCTTTCTGGCTGCCTATCTGTTTGTCTGTCTGTCTGTCTGCATGTCTGTGTCTGTCTGTCTGTCTGTCTGTCTGCCTGCCTGCCTGCCTGCCTGCCTGCCTGTCTGTATGTCTGTATGTCTGTATGTCTGTCCCTGTCTCTCTCTCTCTCCCTCCCCCTCTCTCCCTCCCTCCCTCCCTCCCTCCCCCTCTTCTTCCCTCTCCCTCCTTCCGCCCTTTCTATGATCTCTATACAACTGCAGCCCTCTCACTTTAAGCGTGGTATAAGGTATTGATCCTTCTGTAAAGCTATCAAACTCTCTAACTTTCAAAATCCTTTATTGACATGTCTCTCTGTCACGTCCCTCATTGATTTCAGATTAACGAAAGACAGGCCATCTGCGGCCATGTAATTTATTTCTTTCTTTTCTACCCCCGAACAATTCTTTGAACTTTTTCATAATCATAACAACCTTCATTTTAAAGCCATACGATCTCTCTCTCTCCTTTTTTTTCCACAACCTCTGTATAACCTTTTTTTTTCTACAATCCTCACCTCAAATACTGATTCCCCCTTTTCGTACAATCTTTCCGCAACCTCTCTACAATTTTTTTTTCCCCATAACCTTCACCTTAAAAACCTCCCCCCCCCTTTCCCACAACCCCTCCACAACCTTCACTTTAACCCTTACCTCAACCCTCCCCCCTTTCCCACAACTCTCCCCTCAACCCCCACCACCCTTTCCCACATCTCTACAATCTTTACCCACACCCCTCACCTCAAAAACCTCCCCCCACCCGTTTCCCACAACCCCCCCACCTCTGTACAACCATTTCCCACAACCCTCAACCTCAACCCCCCCTCTCCCACCTCTCTACAACCTTTTCCCACAACCCTCGCCCCAAAAACCTCCCCCCCACCCGTTTCCCACAACCTCCCCCTCCCACCTCTCAACAACCATTTCCCACAACCCTCTCTCTCACCTTAAAGACGGGATCAGCTGTTGAACCGTTGACATCGACTTTGCCAAACATCACCATCTTGGGCTCGAAGTTGTTGCCAGGACGGACGTGGCGGAGGGAGCTCAGCAACTCTCCCTCGGTGGTGTTCTCCTGAAGACGCAGAAGGAGGAGGGGGTGATGAGGAGGAGGATGGTAGGAAGGGGTTGTGTGTGTGTCTCTCGCTTGTCTTTGTTTGTTTGTCTATTTATTCATTATCTTATCTTATTTATTCATTATCTTATTTATTCATTCGTTTATTTATCCATTCGTTGATTTATTGTCGCGATTGTCATTTTTAGATATGACCAACCTGGAGTAAAGAAAGAGGAGGAGGAGGAGGAGGAGGAGGAGGAGGAGGAGGAGGAGGAGGAGGGAGGAGGAGGGAGGAGGAGGAGGAGGAGGAGGAGGAGGAGGAGGGGAGGAGAGGAAAAAGAAGAAGAAGAAGAAGAAGAAGAAGAAGAAGAAGAGGAATAACAATAATAATAAGAAGAAGGGGGAGGAGAAGAAGGGGAGGAAGAAGAAGAAGAACGAGAAGAAAAAGTAAGAATGAGACTACCAGACCCACCTGGTGCCCGAACTGGTTGCAGGGGAAGGCGAGGGGGTAAGAAGGAGGAGAAGGAGAGGAAGAAGAAGAGGAAGTAGAAGAAGACGAAGAAGAAGAAGAAGAAGAAGAAGAAGAAGAAGAAGAAGAAGAAGAAGAAGAAGAAGAAGAAGAAGGAGAAGAAGAAGAAGAAGGAGAAGAAGAAGAAGAAGAAGGAAAAGTGATAACACCCGACCCACCTGGTGCCGAGGAGGAGGAGGAGGAAGAGAGGAAGGAGAGGAAGAAGGAGGAGGAGGAAGGAAGAATGACCCACCTGGTGCCCGAACTGGTTGCAGGGGAAGGCGAGGAGAAGGAGAAGGAGGAAGAGGGGAAGAAGAAGAAGAAGAAGAAGAAGAAGAAGAAGAAGAAGCAGGAGGAGGAGGAGGAGGAGGAGGAGGAGGAGGAGGAGGAAGGAAGAAGGACCCACCTGGTGCCCGAACTGGTTGCAGGGGAAGGCGAGGAGAAGGAGAAGGAGGAAGAGGGGAAGAAGAAGAAGAAGAAGAAGAAGAAGAAGAAGAAGCAGGAGGAGGAGGAGGAGGAGGAGGAGGAAGGAAGAATGACCCACCTGGTGCCCGAACTGGTTGCAGGGGAAGGCGAGGAGAAGGAGAAGGAGGAAGAGGGGAAGAAGAAGAAGAAGAAGAAGAAGCAGGAGAGGAGGAGGAGGAGGAGGAGGAGGAGGAAGGAAGAAGGACCCACCTGGTGCCCGAACTGGTTGCAGGGGAAGGCCAGGACTTCCAGCTTGTCGCCGAACTCTTCCTTGAGTTGGTTCATCTGGTGGAAGTCCCTGGTGGTCGTCCCTCAGAGCGACGCCGTGTTCTGCACCAGCACCACCTTGCCCTGGTACTTCTTGAACGACACCATCTCGC